TTAGCAGGCTCTCCGACAGGATGCTCTTTTTGGAATAAACCTGGCTTCAAAGCCATAAAATTATTGAAGCCAGCGGGATGAGTACCCCGATGAGTGATGTGCCCCGTAGCAACACCGCCTTGGTCCTGAACAAGTTCCCAATTCATCGACCGCGGGATAGAAGCGCACTGATAATAAGAGATCGGCCACATCCGTTCCAAATTGGGGAGGAAAAGACGACGGTTGTTGACAACTTTCAGCCATTTGTAGTTCCCTTCCGACACTCACTTGGGGTCCATCTTAACAGAATCCCCGAAGAGGAAAGACGGCTTCTTTAAAATCTCACGCTCTGCGGTTTCAAATTTGGCATTTGTAACCAAAGACCTGAGAGTCTCAGAAAAAGCCTGAGTGATGAGTTTTGCCCGTTCCTTGTGGGTATCCTGGAATATGGGATACTCGAAGACAAAACTAAAGATTGTATTTTTCACCGCGCCTCCCGCATGACCGAAGTAATGGTTGAAGGAAAGAGGCTCTTTGGAGTAGCATACTGCAAATAGAAAAGCTAGTCAAAAGAAGTCCAAGTTTAGACTTGCGTCCAGATCATTAAATGCAGGGTCTCAACCCGCATTTGAAATTTCGAACACAAGGTTTAGACCTGCGTTCGGATTATCAAACGCAGGGCCTCAACCCACATCTAAAATCTTGAACGTAAGATTTAGACCTACGTTCGGAGTCTTGAACGCGGGGTCTCAACCTACCTCCAAGATTTTAAACGCAGGGTCTAAACCTGCATTGAAATTTTATGAACGATGGAACTAGCCATACGTTTTCTTGGAATTGATTACCAGCCCAGAATTATCTCTTGAGCTTAAATACAGATCGTCAATCAGGGATCAGGGAGAGGAGATCTATTAAACCCACTCCCAATGGTTCAATCTTACCATTAGTTGAAGAAACCAACGACGAAGGCGGGAGAACCTGATCATCCCCGGAGATCTTAGCCGAAGGAACACCCTGAGCTTCGGCGAACTTCGGCTTAGAAGTAGTTTTCTTCTTGAGTCCCATGGCAACCGTGGCGAAGAAGATGGAGATGGGTGAAGTATTTAAGAAATGATCCTTTCCTCCGTTGAAGCGCTGGAGAAGATGAACAGGAGCTCTGTTTAGAAATCGAGAAAAGGGGAAAAAGTCGAATGACTTTCTGATTTGACCTCAATGGCCCATTTATAAACAGCTATAGCTGTCAAATCAAAGCGGGATTTTAGGCAAAATCTCACCTGAAACGTGATTTTCGCGTTTTCAAAAAAGAGGGGCTTCAGTTACCGAACACACCCTCACATCCAAACCGTAGAATGCATGATATAAACATGCGTTCTGGCGATCGAACTCAGCTTATCACATAAATAATCCTTTCAAAAGGGTTAACATTCCAAGCAATGGCGATATGATTAAGAGAGAAGATAAAGTGAATCCCTGTGAGGTCATCTTCCTGACTAAGCTGGGGATAAAGTCCCTCTTACACAAGCCTGTGGTTTTCTCCATCCATGATAAGGCCTAATTCATGTCAGAGAATGAGGAGGTCAACGAAGGTGCTCCACTTAACCTGTGATGGGGCGCATTCGATCAACAAAATCTTTGGGTTCCAAAGTGTTTCGAAAATTCGTCCCAGTCAACCGCGAACTTTTGAAAACTTTGGAGGGGGTTCTGTAGGCTGTCTAAAAATAACAATAGATAATTGATTCCCCATCAAACACCCATCATGGAAATTATAATCTGACGACTTCCAGAAGGCTACGACTTGAAGACTTTCATATATCAAGGAGTTGAAGCAAGGATTACGAAACGATGATCTTTAGCAACGCTCTGACAGAAAGAGATTACAAATCGACGATCTCTTCAAACCAAGACGTAGAAGCCCTCACTGAATACCATCGTCAAGATATAACACCAATTCGAACACCAATGCCGCTTCTTATGTGAGAGGATTGATCTTGATGGCTGCGACAACAACATGACTAATATCATATTAGCAACCATTAGAGATGCTGATGAGCAGTGTAATGATTTTAGAAAAGTGGGAAGATCTAGAGAGCTGTGGGCAAATATGCGACACACTGAGGAGCACATGGTTAAAACATGAAATTTTAGTGGAGATCGTGACTTGCAGTTGATAGAGCGTTATTGAGATACCTCAATTGTCACAAATGACCTGAATAAGACCTTCTTTATTGGTCATTGGTGTCATCCATATAGAAAGATAGAGAAACCTGAACACAACTCATCAACCGCTGCTCGAACGCAGCTCATCAGCGCCGTCGAACGCAGCTCCAACCACTGCCAAGCAAACGCACCGTCAAACATCGAAGAACGAAGCTCAATATTGCTGCAGAACGCACCTCCAGATGCTGCGTTCAAACACAGAATCTATGCCAGAACGCACGTCAAAGCTCTGACCTGTTCAAACACGATCTAAGCAGTTTAGAAAACTGCTCTTCACCCACAATTTGAGGAGTGGCTTACGTGGGTTGTTACAACCGATTAATGAGGTAACTAAACCCTCATTTAGGAGCGGATTATGGGGGCGGTTACACCCCTAATCCTCCTATAAATATCAACAAACTCAACAGAGTTAAGGATCGGATTTTTAAGAATCAGATCGAGGGGTCGGAAGATAGCATCGAATTTTGATTAGATCTTCCAGAATCAGAAAAAGAGGATTGATTCCTTACACAGTCTGGGGAATCAACATCCATTGAGAATTCCAGATCTTCGAATACTTGGCTTATTAACCGAATCATTTTCGGTTTGAACATCTCTAATACTGTTATTAGAGTTTGAATCACAAAACTCGTCAAGAGTTATCAACAAGACAAGACTGTTGTTCTAGTGAATTGAGACATTCGGATCGTCAACAGAGAGCAAACTCGACGCGAGCATTCGAGGGAGGCACTCCATCGCTACCGTGAAGAACCCAGAATTAAACAAAGGGGAGAATCCAGATCATTCTCTTCTCTTTTGTAACCAGGAATTCAAATTGTAATCGAGAATTGAGAGAATTGTAATCATTCTTTTTCTAAGCAGTTAGAGAGAATAAAATCAAATACAGTTCTTTCCTTGTTTTCTTATTACAAATTTTCCAACAAAAACAGGCGCATATCAATTCTAAGTCGAAGGATAATCCCTGAGAGTTCATTCATAATTCAGATAAGAACTTCCGAACAGGATGAGTAGTTCATCGTCGATTCAATGACACGAGCTAAATTCAGCAATCAACACAACAGCTTCAGATCAAGATTTCTACAATGGTCAAGCAATAAACGCAACACCGAGAAAATTTTAGTTATTCGATAAAAACTGAATATACTGAAATATGGAGAAGTCAATGAATCAAAGTAGGAGTGTATCACATCCAAAGTATTCCAGACTCCTCTGTAAAAGATTGAGGCTGAAATACTTTGGAGGGGGTATTTGTATGTGACAAAAAATTACCTATAGATTATCATACGTAGCCTAAGATAGAGAGAAGGTGATAAACATCACCATCTACATCGCAGATAATCATCCAAAGCTAAAGATCAACTAAAGAATGCACAAGAAGCACATCACGCAAGTTTCAAGACGCAAAACATATCTCAGAAGCATAAGAGGAACTCACAATTTCCGAGACAGTTACAATTATCTCGGAAACTACGAGGAAGCTTATAGCTTCCGAGACACATACAACTATCTCGGAAGCATGAAGGGAACCCACAGTTTTTGAGACAGTTGCAACTGTCTCGGAACATATGAGGAAGACTATAGCTTCCGAAACACTTACAACTGTCTCGGAAGCTAAAGTGATACAGATGACGATTTTCTCGAGATTTGTGCATTCCACGTGGCTCCATAAATGTTAGAGATCATGCGTGAACATGAGGAGGACGTTACAAGCGAAAATCACGCTCATATCTGCAGAAATCATGGCATTTAAAGGCGGGAAAAGCAGTTACAAAATGGCTATAAAATGAAGCATGCTTCCGAGACAGTTCTAACTGTCTCGGAAATGGAAAATCAACCACGCTTCCGAGACAGTTACAACTGTCTCGGAAATAGGAGCTCTTTGACACACCTTTTTTTCAACTTCTGACTTCAATTATAGTTCCTAGGGGCTATAAATACTCACCTATGACCATCACTGACGAGAACGGAGCATTTTTGAGCAGATTAAGCAGAGAGACTTGAGCAATTTGGTGAATTCCAAGCAAGAAAGAGAGAGTCTTCATCAAGTGCAAGCTTTTTTCAGAGTTCTTATGATTCTTGAGATCTAAGCTTTGACTTGATCTTAAGAAGAGTGTTTATCTTACATCGATAAGATATTCACTTCCTTTTTCTTACTTCTAAACGAAACAATAATTCCCAAATAGCCTTCACGGTTCAATCTGAATCTGTGATTCGGTGGTCCATGAGCTAACGCACCCCTGGCACAGACAAAGATCTCACGCAAACATCGATCCAAAACGATCATGCGTGTGTTTCTAAGGAGCATTGTAATTTGATTTTTTTTTTGTTTGTTGTAAAGAGTAGTTTTACAAAGCATGAAACTTGCTCTTTTGTATTCATTGTAATCGATAAACAATTATAATGAATTTTGCAACAAAATTTGTTCCTGACGTGAACGCCTTATATGTTCTTTCACCTCTTTAGATATCATCTTCGTCTAAAAATAAAGTTATTTTTATGTAATATTCTCTTTTTAAAGAGTTTCCTCCCCCTCCCAATTTGAGGGGAAACAAAAACTCAAAATATTTTCACCATCCATTACCTTAATTTTCTTTTCGTTATCTATCTTAAATGAATTTCTAAACAAGATTAATGTGTCCATATTTTCTCTTACCTCCCATTACCTCTAATCTGAACAAGCCCTTCGGAGCAAGGCAATTTGGTTGGATCTTACCTTGGCTTGCGTCGCCCATTGAAAAGAAGACAAGGGGGAAAAAATAAAGTTTTTTATCTGACGACTTTTTTGGAGATTTTTTTTAGTTTAAAGATTATCATCGAAATCAAACTTAATATTATAGTTTGAATAGAAGTACCAAATATTAGTCCAACCACTACTTTTGCAGTCTCCTTCAAATTTCAAGCAACAACAGTTGAATTTAAAGAAAAGTACTCTTCTTTCTCCCTCTTTTCACATTTCTCACCAAACCCACCATTTTTTCTTGCATAATCTATCGAATCCCTCATCAAACCCATCTTTTTCTCTGTGGGTTTTCTTGTTCTCATCAAACCCATTAACCTTCTGATCTCAATCTCAATCTCAATCTCAATCTCATGGGGAAAGGATTGTTCGATTTAGAGCATCACTTTGCTTTCTATGGAGCTTACCACAGCAACCCGACGAACATCCTCATCCATATGCTCTTCGTTTGGCCCCTCTTCTTCACTTCGCTAATTCTATGGCACTTCACTCCTCCTCTGTTCGTCCTTAGTCTCCCTTTGGGCCTTGATTTGGGCCTCAACTTCGGCTTTTTCTTAGCCCTCCTCTACGCTTTCTTCTATGTGCTTATGGATGCCAAGGCGGGATCTTTGGCTGGTTTCCTTTGTATTCTTTGTTGGGTTGGAGCTGATCTGCTTGCTGCCAGCGCTGGGTTCTCTCTCGCATGGAAGGTATTGGTTCTGTTTTGTTATATTCGATTTGATTTGATTTGGGTTCTGATTTGATCAATCATTTGAATTGGGTAATGATTGTTTGTCATCTTCTATTATTTAGCAGTTGGTAAATTTTTTAGTAAAGAGGGTACTTATACTTGTTTAACCGGGGAAGATGGGTTTTAGTTGTAGTAATTAATAGGAGATATGATTGAAGGTATTGGTTTTATTTTGTTATATTTGATTTCAATTCATTCGGTAAGATTTGGTTTGGGTTCCGAGATGAATGATATGAATTAGGTGCTGATTATTTGTATTATATCCTGTTTTTGAGTTGGGTACTGAAAAGGGTACTTGTACCAGTTGAACTGGAGAAAAAGGGTATTTTAGCTGTACTGACTAATTGGATATATGATTAAATCTTACTGTTACATGTGATATATGCCAAATCCAATACCTGACATTAATATCTATGACTGCAATCCTATGTATTATTGGCCTGCATCTTTCCCCCCCTCATATAATTTTCTACAACTTTTTAGATAAGTAGATTAGTTCCCACGTGTGACCTCCATCCTATTTGTAAATAAAAAATAAAAAATAAAAATAAAAATCATGTGCACATTGCTGACAATCTGTTTGATACGCTGAAACTTATCATTACAACTGCAGTTGCCATTTCCAAAACACAGTTTTAGTTACAGTTGCATATGTTGTTTAGATGCAACTCAAGTTGCTGTAATTGTAAAAATATTCACTTTTTGAGATGTCCTAGCAACCAAATTGACTGGAACTTTTTTTTTTCTTTGGCAAAAAAGTGCTTAGTTTTGCAGCTGCAATGTAAAGAGACCATAGTTACAGCAAAACAACTAATTGCGGTTGTAACTAGAAATGCATGTTGCTAATTGCATTCACAACTGCAATTGTTATTTTATACGATCCATACAACCCTTGATCTCTAGAATCCTAAAAGTTGGTAAGCCTGTGAGTTGTTTGCTCATCTAATTAGCAACAATCTCTATATTTATCATTGACTTATCATTTTATCATGACATCTTCATTGTCCTCTGGTATTTGTTCTCTAGGATGCTGAAAAATTAGAGTTCTTAAGTTACTTATTATATCTCGTTCTCATAGTGGGCATATGCCTCTTTCGCTATTGCGCAAAATATATGGCTAATGACTTAGATCATAGAAAAATTTCATGTGAATTTTATCTTTAATAGTTCACAGAACGTTGGTCCATCTGCATGTTAATCTGTTGATGGGGACATGATGTTTTGTTTGTTAAGCATATGGTTACGTGATGTTGTTTCTGTAGCGTACTTCTCATGTAAAACAAGCTAGCATCACCTTAAATCAATTTTCCTTGCCCTTAGATCGAAGTTAATACCATACTAAGCTTGCACTCTCGTAACATTATCTCCGAGTAGCTGAGTAGCTTGCATACTCGAACCCTGTAATCTGATACTTTACAGGTTGCATGAAGATGCAGTGTTGATTCTTATAAGACATTTTTTTTTCACTAGCATCGCACATATGTGGTCTTAATTTACCTGTTTCTCTGACCTTTGCGATCGTGTGTGATTCCTCTAGTAAGTCTGATATGTCAATTTTATGCTTAGAATAATAAGGAATGATGAAATCCTCTACCCTCTCACGGATATGTGAGAATATGCTTGGACATCTTATATGTGTACTTCAGGTATAGATTATAATTAGATAGGTGAAAATCAAACAAAAGAGGTATCTATTTGCAGGTTTATGGAAACCAAATAGCTTGCAAATCTTCAAAACCTATTCAACAGCATTTGTAGCAGTCTAGTATAGTGCACGTGCATTGCATGCGGACATACTTGTTTTATGTTTCAAATAATTAAAACTCTAAATACTTGTTTGACTAATGAGATTTGTTCATGTATTAAACTAATTATTATATAGTTATTGCAATTTTTCATATTTTTAAAGATGCAGTTCTTTGTATATCTAAAGAAATAAAATTGCAATAACAATGGTTTTCATATCATGTGGATTTGCTACAAAAATTGTAATAATTATTTTTTATGTCGTCCAAATTGCATCCAAATCAGCTGATTGCTCTCAACTTTCAAGGGGTAATTTTTGCGAGGAATCGAGCTAGGCTCAAGAGACATTTAGTTGTTAATCCAAGTTCAAACTAAATCGAAAGAGCAAATACTAATTAGTAACTATATTAATTTTTTTTATTTAGTACTGCAAATTACACAAAATATGAGATAATTTCTCTTGAATTACATTACTTCTGTATCTATGTTTTCGTAACTCATTGGCATTAGCATGAAAATCCAAATTATTTGTAATATGAAAGCAAACAGAGTTCCATGCTAATGCATATTAAGCCAATCATAGCGATGAACAAAAACTACATTTGCTCAACTAAAAAGACCACATTTTCCAGCAACACTCTCTACACCCTAACAAACAATTATTAATCAATCTTTTTAACTTTTTTACCATCCGGCTCACAAGCAGCGGGCATGCTTGAAGGTTCCGAAAGAGGCGGATAAAAACCCAAACGACTCAGTATGACGGTAAGTCCCTAAGTATATGTACCAGCCTCCTGATCAGCAGTAAAGCCGCAACATTGTTTCCATGTTCTAACACTTATGTTGAATAGCTCGAATGACTGGACAGTAGCGTAGGTTTAGGTAGGTCTTCGCCCTTGTAGGATTTAAGCTCCATATTGAAAGTATCCTAATGCCACTAGGAAAGAACCCTAGAGGGGGGGGGGTGAATAGGGTTTATGCTAATCTAATCCGATTTATACCAATTTAAAACTAATTAACAATATATTCTAGCAAGAATGATATTCAACAAGATATGAGCAAGGATATATAAACTAACACAAGGGTAAAATAAACAATAAACAAACAAGAGTGATAGTGCACAAATAAACAATGCAAACACACAATGTGATCATGGAGTTCGGACCTTCCGTCCTACGTCTCCGCTTCCCACTCCCGGGGAGAATTCCACTATCACTCCGGGTTTTCAACGATCACCCGAAAACGTTTACACCACACAATATCGGGTTTTCAACGCTCACCGATCAACGTTCACAATCTCACAATGTAACTATACTAACTACCACCTCAAGTGTTGGTCTCTAGCCCGTGTCTCCCTCAAGTATTAGGAATTACAACCTCTCTCTAGTCTAGGCATTACCACTTACCCCACTCCTCTTGAGACGATCCGGTCTCTTACCACACACTCCTCTTGGTGTACTAGTGTATTACAAGGTGAATCCTCACAATTAAGCACTCTATAACAATGGTTGTTTTCTACTATGGATGAGAATACAATTAAGCCCACACTCAAAGTCACAATCCCACAACCCCAAATAATACTATCTATGCAAATACAATAAGCTCGATAGGTTGTGTGTGAACAATGAGTATAATCAAAATAAATCTAAACGCAAATGAGTTCTAGCTTATAGAAATAAAAATCAAACAAATAAATAGCTAGATAAGAGTTTAGAAAAACTTCTCTAGATGACAAGAGAGAGAGAGATGAGTTGAAACTCAAACACCAAAGGATGATCTCTTCTAACTCTTGTGAAAATTGCTTCACAAACTTAAAACTCAAAACTCAAACTTTAAACAAACACTAAACACCCTTTAAACTTGTTAAACCTTTTTTAAAACTTTTCTTAATTAATTTAGAATGTTAGAGGGCAAGGGGTATATATAGGATCAAGAAATAAAGCCAAAAAACCCAAAAAAACCAAGCAAAAAGACAATAACGAAAACATGAAAATCTGGAAAAACTAGCCGTTATGATGTCGTCGGTCGACTGATACTGTTCATCATTCGACTGATGACCTCATCAGTCGACCAGAAGAAAACAGACAGTTTCAGAGTTCTGAAATTTTGTATATCTGGCTTTGTAAAATAAAGTAAAAATAGTAAATCAAATCTAAAAACCATAAATTTTTTAGGGAAGAATCTAAACATGTAGATAAACATGTTAGAGAAAGAATTTCTGAAATATCACTTCCTAGTTGAGATAAATAATTGTTTGAACACAGATATTACGGTTTCTGAAAACTGCTGAAACACCCGACTTTGAAAAATCAATTTGACATAGTAAATCAACTTCAAAATTCATGAAATTTTGAGGAAAGTTTTTAAACATGTATGTGAACATGTTAGAGAAAGAATTTTGTAAATATCATTTCCCATTTGAGAGAAATAATTTATTTTGTAAACTGGTCAAAAAACTAAAAATTTGGAAACTATAAACAGGTCATCGGTCGACACATCAGTCGACTGATCAGTCGACTGAAACAAAACAGAAAGAAAATGAAGATTCCAGGCACATTCATCAGTCGACTGAAATCATCAGTCGACTGATCAGTCGACTGATAATACATTATCAGCCTGTTTAAAACTGAAAAACTGATTTTTAAAGTGTCTTTAAAAATAACAAATAAATTCCAAAAATTATAAAACTTTGCGAAATATTTATAAACATGTTACAAAAAGAATTTTTGGAATTGCACTTCACATTTGTAAAATATCATCATTTTGCAAAATAGTCCAAAACATGAAAACTAAACATACATGTTTTTGTCATTTGACATAAACACAATATTGAAACTTTTATAAAATGATTTTATAGACTTAATGAATTGATATAAAATATTTTTATGAAGTTCATAAACAAATAATTCAATATTTTCACAAATTCATTTTTGTATAAACTTGAAAACTATAAAACCAAAATGTATGTAATTGAGCTTAAAGTACTAACACACATAATATAAAACCTAAAACTAGATATACCCAAGCTTGTTATCTTCAAAGAAGCTCTTCTTGGTACACTTTGCGGATGAAGCTTGAACTTGGATCTTCAACTTGAATTGCATTGCTTCACTCCCCTATTCCGCCAACCTCCATTGGATATGATCGTTGAGGCTCGATTCCATCCATCCTCCAATTTATTGTTTGCCTAGAATAGATACAAAACACAAACACTAGACAAACACCATTAGAAGTAAATTGTTTGTAAATCATCATCAAAACAAAAGGACCCAACACATATGATTTTCTTAGCATTTACTTGTGTTGTCGCAACTTGTAACCTGGTTATAGCAGTTCGATGGGCTTGGCCATGAAGAGGAGGCTAGGATAAGGACAGAGGGCATGATGTAGGATGGGAACACTGCCATTTGTATCATTTTTATCATTAATAATGAAAGAAAGTTATGGTGGGAGAACATGCATGTAGTTGAAAGGTTAGAGTGTTTGTTTTAGGTTAGATGTTTGTCTACATAAGATGTATTGAACCATTAGAAAGCTGAAGAATTTGTTACTATTTGGTATTAATTAGTGGGTTGTGTTGAGCTGAACGTGATTGTGCTGTTTATTTTGCCTTATTTGGTCATTAATGAGCATTATTTGGTAATTAAGCTTGAGCTGAATGTGCATTTGCTGTTCATTCAAGAATATTGATAAACTGAGCTTCCGTGTCGACAATGAAATGAAGTGGAATCCTGGGCCACAAGGGTATTAATGTTATTTGCATGTTTGTCTACATATTTCTTCTCACCCATTTTCTCTTTTTGTGAGTGGACCCACTTTGTCATTTTGCTAAGGGAGTTGGGGTTGGTTGGGGGTGCGGGGTTGAGTTTATGGGTCTGAAATTGCAAGTTATAGTATAAATATTGCAAGTTATATATAATGTGCACAATATATTAGATGTATATAATTATATATAGATGTGAAGTTTATTAATATCTAAAGTTTAGTACAAAATAAATATATGTAACTACTGTAAATAATAGTTGTACTATAGTTTATAAAATATATCTAAGTTAGTAAACAATAGTTGTACTATAGTCTCTATAAAAAAAGTCATGCTATAGTCTAAAGCCTTTAATTAATATGATTTAATAAGATTGGTGGTTATGAGAAGAATTTGAAGGGGTATAGTTTATATATGTATGTATGTGGTTGATTTGAAAGGGTGTGATTTATGTATGCATGTATATGTATTTTCTGTATAAATGTATGTGTTTAATGGATGGCATTCTCGAAAGTAAATGTTTTAACATTCCACACATTTTTATAACAGTATAAGATATAAGATATGTTTAGTCTTTTTCCACACTCCCCAACCTTGTTACATGCTTATACAAGAAATTACACACCACTGATATCTGAGGATGGATGAAGTACTTTGTGCAAATTACAAAGTCTAATTGTAGTATATACTCATCCTTCTATGTGATGTATTCTCATATGCAAAGATTCTCAATTTAAGTTATAGTACAAAACATCCCACCATCATATATAATTATAATATTAAGATTTGCTCTCATAAACTCTTTGCAAGTTCAGTTCGAAACTACCTTTTATCTGGTTCAATTCTAAAGCAACCCCAGTTTTTTAGTTAGTTATGGAGAGTCTGGAGGTAGGTAGTCCAGGATGAAAGTAAATGATGAAATGACAGACTCGATGTTACACTTATATGATGTTATCTCATTAAAACATGTGCTAAAAAGACAACTTAATCACCCTAATTTTTTCACTCGTGATTTAACAGTTGCTTTCGTACATGGACAGGGAGGAACCTGGCTAGCTTGTTTTGGTGGCCATTTTTCTGAGTACATTGTATAATCCTTTCAATTTTCAGATGTTGTGTTTTCTCGTGGCTATCACACTCTTTTTAAAATATATATGTTCTGCAGATTACGATCAGTTATCTTACGCCAAAGAGAACACAATATTTTTTTTTCTTTTTTGTGAACAAATGCTGTGGACTGGAGTTGATCATGAAAGTCCCACAGCCTGACCCTAGTTTTGATCACCGAGCTACTATTCGTTGGCTAGAGAAAACACTAACAAGTACGACTGTTGAAGTCCTTTACCTCCATGCTGAGACCAACCTGTATGGAAATAGCAGCAGTTTTAATGCCCTTACGATAAGTTAATGCAAAACCTTAACTGGTTCGAGCATTTGCCTGAGAGAAAATTGCAGTATACTTTAGCAAGTATTTGTTTTATTCAATTTAGCTGAACCCCTTGGTTCCCTAACTCATTGGCATTTTCTTAGCAGAAGTGTATTTTTTCCAGAAGCTTATTATAACTTAGTTATAATAGTTAAATAGCTCTATTATTTTGAAAAGGTGTTCAAATTTTCTCTCGTAAAAATTGACACCGGGGAATATCATCATTATAGTGAACACATAAACATGCTATTGAGGAATGGAATAATTGTTCAAGCACATTTGCTTTGTTTCTTTATATGACATCAATGTATTAGTCATTTCCATAATGACAGTATATACTATATAATTAGAAATACATCATTTCGTGATCACCTTTACATGAAGACATTTTAGTGTGTGGGAAATTGTAAAGTAGGGGTTTAATTTGCGTTCATGTAAATTACCCCCCACCCCACGGCGCACGCGGATATTTCATAATTAACTTTTATTTACCCTAAGAATCTTGGTCTGCTCATTGAAGGGCTCTACCATTCTCTACAATGCAATGCCTAAGATGACAAGTGTTCATCCTGAGATCTCATGTGTTACGACATTCATAATTTTCGTGTCAGTGCCTTCCTTGTGAAACACAAATTGGAGTTGTGTTACATGAATTTGGCTATAATTTGATAATCTCTGAACGCAATAAATTGTGTATTGAATTTGTTATAGTGTTTAGAGAATCTACAAATATACATGGACATTATTTTTACTCTTGGTGAGTGAAGCGTATGTATGCATTTTTGTATCAAGATTTAGGTTTAGGTATTTTCAGAAAATTTCCAGTTCTGTGTTGGATACAAGTATTATCTACATTTGGGCAACTATGGTGCTGGATGATTCTGTCAGAACCACTTGATTTGTTTCGGCCTAACATTTTCGGATTCATAAATATTCTATCTATAAGAAACAGAGGAGAGACTGATAATTTTTGCACTCCGCTTCAGAAATGTACGTATGTTAGAGGGTAATACAGTTAAATTGCGTCAGATTTCATGTTTGATGTAGAACTTAATGTCTTTGTCCAGGTTGTTGTAGCTGCACAGTTATTTTGTTGGGCTGGGCAGTTTATTGGACATGGCGTTTTTGAGGTATCCACTACCTTATGATAGTTAGTTTCAAACTTACTATTTATAATTTAGAACAGTTTACATTTATAAAATGGAGTCTAATGGATTTATGCATCTCCTGTAGAAGCGAGCACCAGCACTTTTGGACAACCTTTCTCAAGCTTTTCTAATGGCTCCGTTCTTCGTTTTTCTAGAGGTAAGCATCTGAACCTCTGAATCGTATAATACCTTATCGATAAAAGTTCACTAACATTAGTATTGAGTTTCAGTTGCTTCAGAGCTTTTTCGGGTACGAACCATATCCTGGTTTTCAAGCTAGTGTAAAAGCAAAGATTGAAGCTAACCGCAAAGAATGGCAAGATAGCAAACAGAAGAAAGCTTCATAATTTATATGCTCTCTCAATGTGTAATCCTTAGATTATTCCTATATATTTGAAATGACGTTGCTCTTTTGAGTTTGCTTTACTCTAGTATATCATGATGTATTGAGAAGGGGGAAACAGCTTGTCTAAGCTTTGAAACAGTTTGTCTTTTTAGTTACCGATGATCATGTATCAATGAAAACAACGGAAACTTCTTTGATGTATGGGGTGGTATGTGGGGCTGAAGGAAGTTAAAAGATTTCATGATCATAGGTGTAAATTTACAGACTATTTGGGATGTTTTGCTTGTCATATTTGAATGCTTCAGATGTCATATATAGTAGCTCAGGTGTTGTGAGCTCCTTAGAGCATCTCCAACTGCGTCACCATAATTTCTCTAAAATGGGGAAGCAAAATGTTAAATTCTCTAATTTTTTTTGCTCTAAATCCAACAGCTTCCCCATTTTAGGGGTTTAGGCATTTATTACAACTATAAAACATCCTACATAATCAATAATAATTAAGAAAATAAATGTTTGATATTTTATTATAACAATATAAAACTCAATGAAGTATTAGATATATTTTTTTCTTTGAAGAATGTGAGATATTTATGATAATGTTACTTTCAAGAATTTGGAGAAGGAATATTTTTTGTAGAATGTTGTAGATTTGGGGAAAGTCCTTTTTTTCTTCTCCATCTCCATTTTAGGGAATGAGATGGAGAAGTTGTTGGACCTAAAAATAATTCTACATTTCCCAAAATTGGGTATTTTAAGAAGGTGGGGAATCTTTTGGAGATGCTCTTATACTCCCCTAGATGGCAAGTAAGACTAAGAATATCTATGATTTAGGGATAAAAATAGCAATTATTAATAATTTATGGACACTTTTAGAAAGATTTGTGATTTGAGGGGGATATTTTAAATAAAAAACTTTTTTGCTCTAAGGGGGTGTTTGTTTTAAATCCTATAATTTTAGGATATGGATTTCACCATGGGATTTGAATTCCGTAGGTGTTTTTTTATGGGTTGGTTTTTCTAAAATGTTGTTTGTTTCATTAATATTTTAGGATTTGGAATACTACAATTTGTTATATTTTGTTTGTTTTAAGCTCAAATTGTAGCATTATCAAATGCGAATATTTTGTAATATGATGAATATGCTATCTTGGTGAGGCTACCTCCTACAGAAAGACAAAATTGGGATTTGTCAAATCCTCTCCAATTAAGAGGTAAGCACACTCATTTATGGGATTTATCAAAACCCTCTCCAATTGAGAGGATTTGGCAAATTCTAAAAATTGGGCATTTTTTGCACTTTTGGGATTCAATATTCTAAAAATTTTCTTAAAACAAACACCATATATGGAATCCCAAATTACAATAAAACTCACTTTTTGATCTTAAAACTTATAATCCATACCAAATCCAAAAAAATTGGTGAAACGAACACCCCCCAATACTACCAAGCACCATATGCAAAATATAGAAATCTTTGGGTCTGTTTAGTTGGATGGAAACCAAGTTGCAAATATAAATTGAGTAATCAGATTTGTAAATACATTATCTAATTTACACCTTTGTAATTAGGAAAAGTAAAGAGACTTATATTTTGTAAAAAAAAGTTACAACAAATGATACAACCAATTTGGTGCGAGGAAAAATTGTAGGATTAAAAATAATAATTCCACCTCATAAAAAATCTTTTTAAATCCAAATAGTAAAACTATCTACATCCAAGTTTCATTATATGACAAAAGTTTATAGTTTTTGCCTAATTATTTTTAAATCAAACACTAAACTTGTATTTGAAAATACATTTTCCTACAATGTAATTGCAGATATCCAAACATCGAATGTGAAGTTCATTTCTTACAAAAAATGTTGTATGTGGCATTTGTTGTTGCAACATTTGCTTCTATTTCATTTTCGCAGCAAATTAACTAGTACTAGGGAGAAGAAAGCAAAAAATGTATCAGGAAACAAAAGGAGTTGCTGACAAGATATGAAATGAAATAATAACTAATAGCATAGTGAATGAAAATAACTAAGCCCATTATGTTATACTTATTTGTTATTTCTATAAGCTGATTAAGAGCAGTACTCCAATAACTCAGGTTCGTCTCTCTTGAATAGTACCCTAAAAAAAATAATTTCTTAAAATGCTTAATATTGTACATCGGATGGTGCCCCTTAGCCTCGCTCCAGGTATGGATAATGAGAAAGTGCTCTTGTCAAACCTTAAAAAAAGAGTCCCTAACAAATTGTAAATATTATTTTTTTAAAAAAATTAATAGGTTTGAAATTGAAATTTACAGAAATTCTAGTTCGAGAAAAAGAAACTCCAATTGAGTGAAAAGGAATTTACAGCACGAGTACGACAAAATCTGCCACTAGGTGCTTCACTTACGGACCAAATCCCTATATAGCCCCGGACAATATAATTATTAACAACTTCGCCACTATAGGGGTAATCAAGTTCTAAACTTATCATACAAATAAAATTCCATCTGTAGATAATAACAATATATGGAAAGGGCGAAGCCTACTATTAAATGTTGTTCCCCTCGACCTCGAGTGCAAATTTCTCCTCAATTTTCCCCTAATATTGCTCCCTTCGTCACGATCGAGGGCTAGGGTTTTGCGATTTCTGAAACCCTAATCCAAATCCCCACTTGTATTCGATTGCTATCGAATCTAGGGTTTGAACTAGTCTAAAGTCGAAGTTAGGGTTAGGTTTTCCTTTGTATCTTCGAAATGGGAGGAAGAACTGTGGTCTCCGATGACGAAGGTCAATTATTGTTCTCATATCCATCGATACATTGCAATATTTTCGAACTTTTATTATTTTATCTCGAATTTTTGTGCAGACGAGATTGAAGAGGAAGAGGACGGTCGAGAAGAGAAAGAAGCCGTCGAGGTCGATGAGAGAGATGACGAAGACGATGATGAAGAAGATGAAGGTAAAAAAATTGGGGAAATTTCAAATACCCCCTTTTTGTTTGTACAATTGACTAAAATCCCCTAAAGTTTGTATATTCATATGGATGATTTGCCAATCATGCAAACCTCAGGGTGCTTTTCTGTAGGTTACCCTAAAAATGTTGAACCTTTTTGAGGTTTCTAAGAGTTGACATTAGTTTCTATTGACATTTTTTTGTTTTCCATTGTTTTTTTTGTTTTATTTGCAGAGGGTCAAGATGAATATGAGAAAGATGACTTCATAGTGGATGATGAAGAAGAAGTGGAGGAAGATGAAGAAGATGGGAAGAAGGATGATAGTGACGGAGAGAGACATAGGAAAAAGAAGAAGAAGAAAAGGTTATAACAGTTAATCTAATTAATTAGTGTTTCTGATGTTTTGGGGATTTTTTTAAAGTAATCATGTATGTGTTTGTATTGATCAGAGAGTCGGAGAGAAACTACGAGCTTGATGAAGATGATTATGAGTTGCTTGAGGATAATAATATAACTGGTTTTCATCGGCCAAAACCCGTAAGTTCCTTTCACTTTATTTCTATGTTTGTTATAGTTTGATGGAATGCAATCACTATGTAAACAATGAATATTCAAGGTTTTAGGCACTAATTAGGTACTTCCATTTTAGTTTTACAGTTTCTTCCATTTTGTGGTTATTTTAGTTTCACGAATAGATTATATTCTATATGAACAACGAGTAGCTAGATTTTTTTTTTGCTGCGTTTTTTGGTGTTGATATTTTCTAGAGTTGCATCATTTATTGGGTGTTAGGAATACAATCCTCTGAAAATATTATTGGGTATATGGTCTGTAAACACCCACTGCTACAAATACATTTTTATGTTAGTGATTGCTATAGTTTAATCTTTTATGTTGGGTTTGATTGACATAATGAAATGCTTTCGTTTGGTTTTCTTTTCCTGTCATGTTTTTGCTTTATCTTTTTTCATCTTTTAGATGTGGGTTCAAGTTGCACTCATGCTTGCTTGTAAATATGACAGGGAAGCAAGTTTAAGCGCTTGAAGAAGGCAGGAAGAGGTGCTGAGGGAGAGGAGAGGCCTGGGTTTTCTGATGAAGAAGAATTCGATAAGTACAACCATGGTGGCCAGAGGACAGCTGAGGAAAAACTTAAACGCAGTTTGTTTGGTGATGATGAAGGCAATTATCTATCTTTCCACTTTGCTCTTTAGGCTTTGTGTTGTGATTTGATTATGTTTTTTGGTTTCTAAAAGTTCAATGTATGTTTTCCTCCAGGCGTACCACTGGAGGATATTGCTGAAGAACAGGAGCAACAGGAAGAGGAGGATGAAGAGATTGGTGAAGATGATGAGATGGCTGACTTTATCGTTGATGAGGAAGATGTTGATGAAGATGGTGCAGTTGTGAGGTAAGAGCTACTAATTATCTTCACTATTAATGAAGTTATCATGGTAAATGTCTCCTTACACAAGGCGGTTATTATAGGAAGAAGAAGATCAAGAAAAGGAAAGTGCGACAAGCACCGGGCGTTTCATCAAGTGCACTTCAGGAAGCTCATGAAATATTTGGGGATGTTGACGAGCTCTTGATGCTGCGCAAGCAAGGCATTGCAAGGGCTGCTAGTGATGCTGGTGGTCTTGGGGAGAAGAGGTTGGAAGATGAGTTTGAGCCTTTCATTCTTTCGGAGAAGTACATGACACATAAGGATGATAAAATCAGGGAGACAGATGTTCCCGAGAGGATTCAGGTATTCTCAGCGTTCGAACAATTTATGTGAGAGTATATTATGCTTTGGCTTCTACAATTAAGTTTCAAAATTGTCTCGTACTTGCAGTTGTCCGAAGAAGTTACCGGGTCTCCTCTAATAGATGATACAAGTATAGAAGAGGAGAGTGAATGGATACACAACCAGTTACTTGCTGCTGCTGCCATTCCACCTCAAGTTGCAGAAATGCAGGCGATCAAAGAGAAAGAAATTGATAAAGATGACATTGGACGTGTCTTGACAATGATGCATGGGCAGAAATTAGATGTAAGGAGAATTTGGATATCTTCATGGAAATATACAAGCATTTTCTTGTTACATTCTTCTATTCACGTTTCTTTAAAACATGCATGGCTCTTATGCTTTCTCTTTTTACTACTTCAGCTTCCTTTCATTGCCATGTATCGGAAGGAGCTATGCCTTAGTCTGTTGAAGGATTCAGATGAGTCGTCAGTGGGTGGAGAAGAAACACCTAGAATACAGTGGCATAAGGTATATGTTGGTCTATTACCTGTTATGATATTCCAACTGAAATTATGCTTGATGACGAACTGATTTCTTTATACTGTAGATGTAATATTTATGTCAATCTGTATGCTGTATATTTGTATATACAAATAGATTGTATGCATATGTATCTGCTGTTTGCATGTGCATTTGTTTTCGGTGAATGGCTTGGTCTTATACTTGGGAGCTCCTATAAACTGAGCCCTCACTTACCAGTGACAGGCCTCATTGGCAACTGATTTATATTGAGTGCTGACGAATCACTATATATTTTTTTCAGTTGCTCTGGACTGTTCATAATTTGGACAAAAAGTGGTTACTCCTTCAGAAGAGGAAGATTGCTCTCCAGATGTATTACAACAAGCGATTTGATGAGGAAGCTCGAAGAATAGATGATGAATCGAGACTTGAATTGAATCAGAAAATTTTCGAGTCTATCATTAAGGTTCTCAAGAATGCAAATTCTGAAAGAGAGGTTGATGATGTTGATGCCAAGTTCAATTTGCATTTCCCTCCTGGTGAAGTTGAGGTGGAGGAAGGGCAATTTAAAAGGCCAATGCGAAAATCATTATATAGTACTTGTTATAAGGCTGGACTGTGGGAAGTTGCTAACAAGTTTGGGTATAGCTCTGAGCAACTTGGGTCACATTTAATGAAGGAGACAACAGTGAGTGCTTTTTTCGTCTGCGTATCTCATGTCATCTTCTGAATGAAACTAATTTCCTTCGTTTCATTTTTATTATAGAGTTCGGACTTGAAAGATGGAACTGAAACTCCTGAGGAAGTAGCTGCAAATTTTACATGTGCTATGTTTGAGACTCCAGAAGATGTGCTTAAAGGTGCTCG